GTGTTTCTGGAAGAGAGAATGGAACATGTGGTGGGTCCATGGCCTCGTGCTGGGCACCAGAGTGGAAAATCACAGAATTAGTCAGGTTGGAGGGGACCACCCTGGGTCATCTGATCCAACCCCCCTGCTCAAGCAGCCTCATCTCAAATCAGGTTGCACATGTTTGTGTCCAAATGGCTCTGGGATGTCCCCAGTGAGGGAGGTCCCACACCCCCCTGCACAGCCTGTCCCGGTGCTTGGTCACCTGCACAGAGAAGTTCTTCCTTATATTCAGGTGGAACTTCCTGGGAATCAGTTTCTGCCTGTTTCCTCTTGTACCACTGCTTGGCACCACTGTGCTGAACCTGGTCCATCCTCTGACACCTCCCTTCAGATACTGAGAGATATGGATTAGGTCCCTTCTCATCCTTCTCTTTTCACCTCTGAACAGGCCCAGCTCCCCCAGCCTTTCCTCATAATGGAGATGCTCCAGTCCCTTCCTCATCTTTGTTACCCTCCACTGGACCTGCTCCAGGAGCTCCATATTTTCTGTCCTGAGGAGTCCAGAACTGGACACAGCACTCCAGACGTCACCTCACTAGGGTTAAGTAGAGTGGAAGAATCGCATCCCTTGATTTGCTGTAAAGATCATTCTTCAAAAGATGTAAAAACTTCTCTGTTAAAGGTCATTCCTCAACTCCCATATGGAGCAAGACCTTAAGGTAAAAAAATGCTGAAGGAAGAATTTTATACAGAGCTGAACTTTTGGGTAGTGTATTGAAAAAAAGTGTATGCACTGGCTTGTGCTAAGAACTTGTTTGTAAATACTGTGATTTGTTTAATCCATAGCATTGATAGTGTTTAGTTTACACTCCCCACAAAGCTGACACACACGTGGCATTCTGTTGTCATGGGACAGGGACCCATGTGCAGTCTCCTGGCAGACTGCACAGAATGTCAGTCAACCTCACTCGAGTCAGTCTGTTCCCAGAAGCTGGAGCTGATGGCCTGGACCTGCAGAAGTGCTGACTGGCAGGGTGGCAGCTGGGTGACCACCAGTGGAGATGGGCACTGGCCACAAGCTGCCAGGGCAAACACAGAGCACTGCAGCAGCACTGCAGCTGTCCCCTGACCCTGAGGCAGGGAGTTCACACACTGCTGCCAGCTGGGGCATGTAGGCATGCTGGGTTTTGAGGAGGGTGGCTGGTATACACAACTTGAAAAATACAGCCTCTTCTCTTGGCCATTTGAGAGTGCACAAACATCCCAGTTTGCCTGCTTTCAAGGCAGGCAGAAGGTAGACCCTGTGAGGTGCCTGCAGTAAACCCTGTGGACTGGAAAGGCCTCATATCTTCTTTTGGTGATACAAGCAAGACATTTCTGCATTAGAAACAACAATTTTAAGTGTTGTTGACATTTACAGTGAAGGTCTCCTCCATTCCTTCACATAAATAACAGAGGAAAAGGCTAGAATTGAGACTTAGGCTGATTCTCACTGTGTGGTCACTGTCTGCCTAATTTCTAACTACTTAGTTTTTCCAAATGTCTGAAAATTTCAGGGTCAACCTGAAGTCAATATGTACTTGTGTTCAGACAAATCATCCAGTACTGAGCTGGCTTTTGAATCTTCTTATGTTATAAGGCAAAGTTGATAGAATATGTCAAGATAACTCAGGATTCTTAGATAAATGTAGTCAACTCCTCCTCTAGATGTGAGAAAAATGTGCAGAGTCTTCTTGCCTTGTTTTCATAGTAAGAGTGCATGCATAGTGGTTGATAGATGAACGGGTTAAATAATCTCCCACTCTCCCCAGTGATCTAAATTCTCCATGACAAAAAAAAAGAAAATATAATAAACAGGCTATGGCTGCAGAAGACTGCAGTAGATTACTTGCCCTGCTGATGTGTTCATGTAGACAACTTGGCCTATCGTTTGTCCTTGCAAAATTTCTTTCAGTCCTTGACTTCCAGGCAGTGGCTGTGCACAAATCCTGTTACTTGAAGCAGGAAGGAATTTTTCTTTGTAGTATTTGTTACATGTACTTGCACCCATTATTTTCACTCGGTACATAGGTGTCTAAGGCAGACTGCTCATCACCCCTTCAGTTTCTTACCCTGGAGAGAGCATGTCTCATCAATGGACCTTACATAACGTACTTGCTTTCCTGGTGCCCAATTTTCTTTAGTCACAGCCTGGAGGTGAGCCCTGATATCAGAAGTTTGTGATGATAGTCTTTGCAGTGGTGACTGCAAGTGATCCTCCACCTTGCCCCAGCTGTATTAAAAGATCCTGCCAGTGGTTCCTTAGTGCTCCTTACTGCTTTGTGGTCTTGTGCACAGTTGCAGATCAGCCACAGCAGCATCTGGTGATCCTTAAAACCTTTCCCCAGGAAAATACAGAAAATACAGTAACTCCTTCTGGAGGAGGTCATGTCTTTCCATCCTACTGCCAGCATCAAGGTGCAAGTGCAACAGTGAAGTAGAGTTACAGCTCAACCAGAAAGATCTAGTGCCTGTCCCCTGTCCCAGCCATTAGTTTTTCCTGGCTTCCAAAAAGAGGGCTAGAGCAAATGAACTTGGTGCCATCTTCATTCCTGCTGTGAGTGAACACTTGACAGTGAAGTACTTTGTCTTTTATTGAGCTTTGGTCAGCAGTTTTGAATAGTAACAATTTGTGCAACTTCCTAAACTTTTGGATGCCATGTATTGCTGGGCTGTGGGGTCTGCTGAAGAGCTATTTCCTATTTGTCTGTTCATAATCTGTACTGAATGCTCGATATTGTCGCTTGTTTGTTTTAGTTTCGGAAGCACCTCCATTCAAATGCTGCCACATCCACTCCTATAGTTTTATTTCATTCTTGAGCATTCACTAAGAAGGCATTACTAATTATCTTGCAAGATGAGTAAACCAGAATAATTTGAATGCATCACTCAACTGTATTCTTTTAATGTTTTTTTCTAAAATAGTCCATGGGATGGTCTCCAAGTAGTGCAGGGTGTAACTTGTGGGTGATAGAGCAAATCTGGCATAACAAAAGCTTGGTAGATGGGAAGTTGCAACCCTTGACATGCAATCCTTTGATGTCTTCTCTGAGAATGTGGGAAAACAACGTCAGTAAAATATGCTGTCCAGCAAAAGCCAAGGTGTGAAGGAGGCCAAGGAGAGGACTGTGGCATGATGCCATTAGAGGTCACAGCAACCTACTGCTGTTAGAGCAGATTTAGGGGAGTAGCGTTCCTGTTGGCGGGGAAGCCTGCTGCCTATGCATCAGAAGAAATTCTTGAGATGAAGGAAAACTAAGCACCACTATTTTGTTATCAAAGTTGCTTTTACCCTTATGAATTGCCTCGTCCCTTACTCCTCTCCAAACTATGATCTGAAGGTAATCACACTCCCCAGCTTGCAATGGTTGGCAGGTGCTGCCAGTGCTGCTATATCAAAAACTTCCCTGAATCTCAAGTAATTGTCAGAGTTTTCTGTTTATCATCTTTGTGTGTCTGGCCAGCTTGTTGTCAGGTTCAAAGCTCTTTGGTATGTGGGCTGCCTTGAGCTCCTGTGTTTATATCACACATTTGTCCTGTTGCTGCTGAGGAAGGATGCAGTGGAGAAGAGCAGAATTCTTAATGTTAAAAGGTCTCTCCTAACTTTGCTGATTGCTGTAATTAGTGTCTGTCAGGAAAGATGTTTAAGTTAGAGGTGAAAAATCATTTGTTGTCAGTTTTTGTAATGTTTCTGTACCATTTTTAGTCTTTTGTAAAGAAATGAGACTTATTTGTTCATTTTAACTGGTGTTTCCTAGGAACTTCTGAACTAGTTAGTTGACTGAAATATTTTAGGATATTAGAGTTATTTACAATCTCCCAAGCAAAGATGGAAGGGAACTAATTGTTCACAATCTTTTCCAGTATAAATGAAGCTCAGAGAAGCCATATTCAAAATTGCAAAGGGAAGTGATTGAATGTCCATATGGATTGAGGAAGATTCTGAGCTCATGGATTAGAAATCATTGCAAGTTATCAGATACAAAGAAGCTGTATCTGACATACAAAATGCCTGATTTGGAAACAGTTGAATAGAAGAAGAGAATTTCAGGGAAATACATCTGTTTGCTTTGGTTTTGTTCTCCTCTTAGGTATCTGCTTAAGACCACAGTTAGAGTCAGGATTTGGAGGCAGATGGACTTTTTGTCAAACCCAGTACAGACATTCTGAAGTTACTAGTACAGTTGTAAATACAAACTAGCCAGAGCCTTACTGCTTTTGGCCCTAGTTGGGCCATGGTAAAGGAGTTTGGATCTCTCTGGGGGAGAGAGATGGCAAAATTAGGGACAAAGGACAAAATCTAGAGGGAAGCAGACTCCAAAGTTTCCATAGCCGATAGAATTATTTGTATGTCATCACTGTGCTTCTGCAACTTAATGCATTTAAGTTGTCTGTGTGCCTATGCTTGCATAACTTATATCATCTGGTTGCTGCAGCATTTGCAGGGTATCAGTGTAGGCTGCAGTTCCATGGGCATTTCTTTATGCAGTTATGGTGCTTTAATTGAAGAAAGATGGACTAAGGAACCTAAACTGAAAGTAACCCACAGAATAGAAAGCATCCATTTTAGCCTGGTTCTGTTCCTGCATCCAGTTCACCACTCAGCCACATAAAAGCTTTTCTGAAGGCAAGCAGTGACAGTGATGCTGGCCTTTTCGTGTCTGAAGTGTTTGTGAAACTGTCATCTCAGGGCAGGGAATATGAAATCACTGCTATAAAATGTATGGTGCTTGTTCCTGTGACAATCTCCGTGCAAGGCTATTACACACTGCATCAGAATTTGGCACATAACATGTCTTTGCAGGCTGTGTGTGAAGGTCATTGTCCAGAGAAAATAGGAATATTCAATTTAGCGTTCATTCCTAATGAGAACCTTTCAGTTCCTTCAAGTAACTGCTTCAGATGCTTTACTCCACATTGTTTCTCATTTCCGTTAGAAGTCAGAACTTGTTCCTAATGTCTTCTTCCTTTCTCCCCAGATAATCTGATCAAAGCCATCCTGTCAGCAACCAAAGATTATCGTCTAACTCCAGCTCTTGACAGGTAAGATGAAACCTTCAGAACAGAAGAAGTAGAAGTGATTCTTTACCATATGTCCTATATAAATTTTGTTAGACGTTTTAGACATTTTTTGCCAGAAATTATTGCCAATACATTTGAATGTGGATGAGTAAGTCAGGAGCTGAAAACTGAGTCCTCTTTATAGTAAATCTGTAGACTCTGGAGACTTCTGTCAAGTCAAACATAAGTAGAAAAAAGTGTTTAGCTTTTGACTATTTCCTAATCATTTGTTTTCATATGTTGTTACAAGACATCCTTTTGCCCCATTTTCAAATAGGTAAATAGCAGCTTTCAATAAACACTTTGCTCTTTTCCAGCCTTTCTGACAAAGCAACAGAACCACAAGGAATTTTAGAAGAAAAGAAGGGACTGGCTTATTTCAACAATGTTTTTCATTAATACCTCACTCTCAAAGTAGGAATGTTTGGTTGTGTTGGCCAAGCCTGTGCTAGGATGAACAGGATAGCAGTCTCCTGGGTCCTGTGATATTTGAATTGATGCCTTTAGAAGAAGCTCCTTTGATTCTTCAGTTCTGTTGCTGAGGTTGTTTCTGAAACTCACTGCCATGTTTACAATCAGCTTCCCAGTGACAGTCCTGTCCTTGCTTTCTGTCATTTCTTCCATTTTTCCCACAGGTTTGGTTTAGTGCCACCTCTCAGATTAGGGAAAGTTTGTTTTGTTGTTTTTTTTTTCAGAAGCTGTCAGAGGTTTTTACTCTGGGACTTGAGCTCTTTTCAAAGTCCTGGTAATACTTATTTCCAGTGGTACTTGACCCAGGCTGAGAACACAGTTCCTGCTTTCTAAACACATGGGTTTTATTTTCTACCCCAGCTCCCCTTCTGCCCATTTTTCACAACAAAGTTCATAAGCTTAACCAGCCTTTCCATAGGTCTCTGCATCTCTCATGCTGGTTGTAGAGCTTGCCTGCTGTAGTTGGGAGTTACTTTCTGTGTGAAAGCTTATTCTTAGTCTTGCACAGTCTATGTGTTAATTTAGGTTTCTTTGAAGTTTGCTGCCTTACAGCAGTGCCAGATAGGGTTAGCCTTCAGACTTTGGATTAATTTGAGAAATTATGTCCAGAAGGTAAAACCATTTTACAAATGACCTTCTTAGAGATTTTGTACACAACTGAGTCTCATCCATCTGGGGTTTATCTCAGTTCTGGTTGGAGAGTTAAGATTTTAATCTGTTGAAAAATCCACATATAGACTCCTTCAGAAGGTTGCTCATATGAAATTAATCTTAATGACAGAGGGCAGGTGGAAGATTCTTGCAGTGAAGGTTAATGTAATTGTGACCCTTGCTGCTCACCTGTTTTGTGAGGTGTAGAATGTTTCAGGCTTTTTAAAAGTAATTTTGCAGGAGATTCTGAAACATAACGACTCTGGCATGAGCTGCTCACTTTGGTTTGGGTTCTTTATAATGGGTTTGCTGCAGAGATAGGAAAGATCTAACACTTAAGTCCCATGAAATATATGCAAAATACATGAGATATCAAGTGCAAATGAGACCTCAGGAACAAGCCAGACATTTGTTTCTGTTGCATTGCAGCAACAAGGTTTGGTGGTGTGTGAACACACAGATATCTTGGGGCAGTACTGTTTCCTTGGGAATTGTGATAAATCCGTATCAGTGAATGTTGATTGTGTAGTACATATGCATCACCATCAAATACCTCCCAAAGCCCTTCCAAGTGAGCAGGTCTTAGGAAGGATTAAAACAGAAGTATTTATGAGAGAAAGGGACTCAAGGAGGCTTGGGATAGCAAGCTGGAAAGTGAGAGCCTAAAGAAGGAGGTGGATGGAGTTGCAACAGAGGAGTTATGAGGAGAAAGAGCTTGGGAACTGTGGGAGTTGTGAAGGCTGCCATAGTGCTGGTCTGCTAAACCAGCTTGGTGAGTAGGGCACAGATGAAGACTTGGGTATCATTCCAGAAATGTTCTTCAGCTGTGGTCATCACTGAATTCCACTGCTGGCAGCAGCAGGTATCTGCCATTTTGGATTCCTAGAAAATTTGTGGAGAAGACTGGTGGATGAAGTCTAGCTCCTTTCTCATCTTTCTCAAGCTTCAAGCAGATCCTAACAGTTCCCCTCCATGGCAGCACCAGTGTGCTGGGGGTAGAGCCTTGGGTTTAGCCACTCCCTTCCTGCTCACTGGTCAAGGAGAAAGTCCAGACCTCTCCCCTTTGCTCAACACCTTGAAGCAACTGGAGAAAGCCTGAGTTAGGGGACTTGAAAGGTCCCTTCCAACCCAAACCATTCTTGGTTCTATGTAGGCTCTCAGAAGTCTAGTGGGCTGATTCTAGAAGCAGGACAAAGGCTCCAGGTTCACCGTCTTTTCAGAATGGAGTTGCATCAACATTTTCTCTGTTGGCAGGTCTAAGAAGCCATATTTGCTACTGCTGCTGCCCCTCTCCTTATGCTGCTGCTATTGTTTGAAAGGGGACTTCAAAGTAGATCAGTGAGATAATTCCAGTTTATGAGTTTTTCTCTCAACCCAGGTCATTCCAATGACTTCATTTCCAGAGCTCCCCTCCCACTGAAGAGTTGTGTGGGCACAGAGCTGAATGGCAGCAGGAGAGGCAGAGGCTGGGATGGGCGGGGAGGGTGAGAACTGCCCAGCCCGTTGGAGTAAGTGTTCATGTAACTATACACTGAATACAGCTTTCCCAGGGGAAGGGTGGGAGAGGCAGGAAAGGTGAGGTCAGAGCAGTGCGTGAGAGCACAGAAAGGAAAGAGAGGATTAGAGCTGTGTGGTGGAAGATCTCTACACCAAGCCTTTGGTCTTGTTCCTACCCAAGCTTCTCAATTTCTGCCCTCCTTCACAAAGCTGGTCCTTGAGAAGTTTCATTCACTTGCTTCTCATAAGCCCTGGAAATGACCTTGTTTGCTTGACTATTCCTGTGCTAAAGGGCATCCTGATGCACCTTTCCTGACACAATGTACTGACATGGTGCTGAAATGAGGCAAACGTGATCCTTCTGGGTATGCGTGCACTTTTCATCATCCCACAGCAGCTTTGCCAATTCACTTCCACTAATCCCTGCATTGTGTTATAACTAGCAGCAGCTGGAGGGCATGGGAACAAAGGCTGTGGTTCACACCTGTACCAGTATACATGGTGCCCTGCTTTCTTCATGACTCCTCATTACAGCACCTTGTGTTGAATGGTAACCTGCTCCTGCTCCAGGGCAGGGGTAGGTGAAGCTCCAGTGATGTTTGGGAGGGGAGTTACAACTCACCCCTGAGCTTGTCTGGAAAAGTTTGGAGATCCAGGGGACTTTCTCTAGAACTGTTGACCTCTTCCTTCTGAGCTGGCATATCTTTTTCTCTCACACAGATGTCAGCGGGCCTCATCTTTGAAACTTCTTGCCCTCCATTGGTTTTTCCAGGCCCACCAATATTGCTGAGATTTTCATTGCTTGATTAGTGGCTCCTCCAGTGGCCTGTCCCTCATTCTGCAAATGGACCAGGGCTTGGTTTATAATTCACAGCCCATCTGCTGGCTGCACTTCAGTGGATTTTTAGGTTACATCTCTGGGGTGATGACATGTAAATTTCCTGTGAAAAGACATAAATATAAAAACCTGACTGACATTTTTTGTATTGCCTCCAGCTAGTAATGAAAGAAAACTGAAAGTCTGATCTTATAACTATCATAGTCTTTACTAATGCAGCATATTACCTGAACAAGTGAGGAAGGGATTTGATAGAACAAGAGAGGTATGTGTCCCACTCTGGTTCAGGTTGATAGCACTCATTTAAGTAACAGCAGCCAGATCAAGCCAGAATATGTTAAGCTTCCTTATGCACCAACTACCCTAAAGATATAACAGAATAGTTATATCTTTCCTCAAAGCCTTCAGATCCAAAGTTGTGTAAAGAAAGGCTTTGTGGTTTTTCTCCCCTGACAAATCCCTAAAGCACTTTGATAAGAGAGAAGAGGAAATAGGAATTGCTACAAAGCATATATGTGTTTACAGTTTTATATTGTTCAAGAAAATCTGCATGAATCCTGCTTTTCATGTAGATGAACTGAACCTTGGAGTATCTGTGTCAAGAGTCTGTACATCTGGCTGCAGCTCCCAGTTTAGGGCTTTAGGGAGTATCTGTTGTGGAAAGTCCATGACTGTCCTTCATACCACCCTGGTAGCAAACTGAAACACGGGCTGTGTCTGATGTGCTCAATCCTTGAAATCTTCTGGAAAAGAAACAGGGCCTTGACATACTGTGTAAACAAGCACAAAGGTGTTTGCACCCTTCTTTGTGGAGAAACAATTGAGCTGTAACTGATGCTGCCTGCGTTGTGCATTTCTTCACCCAGAAACTTGCCTGGAGCCAGCAATGACTGTGCAGATTTCCCATGCTCAGGCACAATCAGTAGACAGAGTACATTTGAAAGAAATTTAAGCTGCTAGAAGATCAAAGATGAGACCTTAGGGTCAGAAAGTTACTAATGAAAAATCTTATCTGCAGACTTAAGGAAAAAGGAGAATGCATTTAAATATATCAGAACCATGAGGGTAGAAGAGTGGTTCAGACATGAAGCTGGGCAAAAGTGATTAACATATCAATTACAATGAGTAAAGGCAGAACTATTCAGTTAAATATTTGTTTCATTTTTTGGGGTAAAGATAGAAAGATGTCTCATTTTACAGCAACAATTAAATACTTTGTGATTCTTTTATTAGTAACTACAAGGGTATTAAATGACAATTATATGTCTTTTAAAATCAGTAAACAATGAAGAGTTAAATAAAAAATTCTTGTTGTTATTAGTGTTTGCTTTTTAGCCCTTTTTGGAATGTTTGAGAGAACAGCAAATGTTGTATTTGTATCTCCAGCCATTCTTGGAGAAATATGGGAGCTAATAAAAAGGTAGCTGTAAGTTGATTTGTTTGCAGGTCTTGCAGGAAAAATCCTGCAGAAGGCAGAGCCAGGTTGGCAGCATAACTGATGTTATGTTACTTTGGGTTTATGAAAATTAAATCTTGCCATGTAGAGGATATATTTTTAGATGAACTAGAAGCTTGAGTGGTAAAGGTAAACTTTTAGAGGCACACATTAGTTATTTGTCTCAGTCCTTTATGTTCTGTTTCTATGCTACACCATTTAGAGGTATCCTTTTTAGGAATAGGATATGTTACATGGCTTTAAAAAGTTATTGTCAGTGTGGAGAATTAATCCTTTAGTGACACTTACAGTGTAATCCTGCTGGCAGGTGTTCACAGGGGCTAAAACCAGTCTGGAGTAAATGTGAAATTCCACTAGGAAAATTTGCAGAACCCAAGACTGGGAAAGTAATGAGCAGGAGGGCCAAGTCAGTCTTGACTATTTCGTTGCATCCTTCACTGGAGCCAAATCAAAAATCAGGCATCACTGAGGCAACAATGTAGCTCATGTTTACAAGATGAGGATTATATTTTGCAAACCAATGACTGTAAGAAGAAAATTGGAATGATGTAAGTAAAATCTCTGTGTAAAAGGCACTCTGCCTTGAGCAGCATTAGCTCTGCATGCTGGTCTTCCAGAATCAGTATTTTGAGGATCTGAGGGGAAGCTGAGAATTGTTCAGGGATGTACTGCAAGTGTGAGTCAAGACCTAGAAGAGCTGCCATGGTGTGCAAGATGTCATGAGCTCACTCCAGTTTGTATGGTCAATAGAAGATTAGGAGTGGGGTTTGATTAGTCTCTGAGTCCTGTGTGGGAGCAGAGCCATGAAGCTGCTGGAGCAGCTTTGGCTGGTGGAACTGGTTCTTCTGTCTCACAGCAGCTCATGCTCACCAGTCTGCCCTGTGAGAGGCAGATGTTTATACACAGTGCTTTCTCAGTAAGTGGATCTCATGCAGATGTGGAAGAGACTGCTGACAGTAGATGGTGCTTTAATTTAGCAGAAAAGTAAAGAAAGCGATTAAGTGGTTTGAGGTTGAAACAAACAGATCTGTATTCAGAATTGGTAAGAACATCCTAACAGTAAGTGGGAAGAGGAAAGAGTGGAGTGCCTGAAGCTCACAGCCTTTGGATTTCAGCACTGTATTTTTCTTCAAAACAGAAAATTCAAAAGGAGTCATAGCTGAGACACAGCTGAGTGGAGAAGGTACAGTATTTCACCCAGCAGTCTGTTTTTTAGGAGGTCAAACTTTCCTGTCATAATCATCAAAAGAGTGTATTTCCTTCTGAAATATCACTTGGCCAGAACTGAACTATGTGTCTTTCTCCCTCCTACAGCACCTTTTCCTTAAAGGTTTTGACAAAGCTGTTACCATCTTTGTCACTCATTTTGGTGTACTTGGGATTGACTCTCCCTCTCTTTGTCACAAAATACTGCTTGAACCAGATCTTGTGTCCGATTTCTCCTTGTTGCCAGAACTGGTTGGTTTGGGGATTTTTTGGTATGCTATCATCTATAATATTCTTTCTCTATTGTGGTTTGATTATCATAAACACATGCTTCTTCAGCCTTTGGGGATACTGGGCTAATATGTCCATCTGCATGAAGGAGTTTTCTCTTTTGGAAAGGTTTGGATCTGCAATGGACCTTTACCTGGGCAGGAAAGCTGTTCCTGAGCATTTCTTGGTTGTGTTAATTCCGCATGTGTCTCCAGCTATCTTTGTCAGCAGAGTGACCTTTAGTGGTTTAGCTGAGTCTTTTGAGTACCCTCTAGCCCTGCTCTGCAAAAAGGGACCCCACATAAGCACAGCTTTCCTCATGCTGGCTCTTTAGACTTTTCACAGAGAGGACAGCCTGGAAGCGACCAGTTGACTGTGCCTGGGGCTAGGAAGGCTGCCTAGTTCAGGGATCTGCTCCAAACAACTGATTGCCTTGGACCCTTTCCGAAAAAGGCTCTGCAGACACGTATTCCTTCAGTGAACTACCAGAGATGGAGGCACATTGCCAGAAGACCCAGCTGCATTTGGGATTAGATAGCTGGAAAGAAGTCCTTTCTCTGTCTTCAAAACAAAATCGCTTTTTAACATCTGCTGCAGCGTTCTCGTGACTCAGGGTTCCACGAGAAACTGTTCTCTTCCTTCTCTTTCCTGTTTCTTTGTTAATTAACGTTATTGTCCTTCCGTTTCCTCACCTATTGTGTCTCCATATATGCTTCCTACTGGACAGGCATGTGTAGGGGCATCTTTTTTTCTCTCAATTTAATGTTTTTCTGTCTCTTGAAGTCTTATGATAAAAGCAGCAATTTTGTTCTCAGCAAGGTGAGTCCACCCCAGATACCTGGCAAGATCTGCCTGCACTCATAAAATTGCTTGGAGAGAAGACTTCCTCACTAAGCCTTTGGTTTAATGTTATTTCAGTGCTGAATGAATAATGAGATGGTTCAAGTAAACAGATGGGTTTGATTCAAGCCCATCATACCAGGGGTGTGGGGGGAGAGGAGCTGCTTGTCCTGACAGCTCATCTCATTATGCCACACGTGGTGTGAGGTGTTGAAAGCAATGTATCACATGTAATGCCTGGGCATGATGAGGTGAACTGGGGATCAAGTGTATCTCTGTCCCCCTCATAATTTTTCATATGTACAGAGGTTTCCTGTAGTTCTTGGATACATGCAAACTGAATATGTGCTCTCTGTGTGTTTGAAGTTCAATTACAAAAATCACTTCTCTCCTCTGTTTCTTCCACAGTCTCAGCTGCCGGCGATGTATTATTGTGGGAAATGGTGGAGTACTTGCAAATAAGTCATTGGGGTTAAAAATTGATGACTATGATGTTGTTGTCAGGTGAGTCTTTGGCATTACAGTTCCTGTCCCATATTCAGTTTCTGCATCAGTTCACTTGCTATGCAGGCAAAGTTTAACCTGTACTAGTGACAGTATCCCTTTGTATGGAAGCATTAACTTACAGGGAGGGTAAAAATAGACATGTGCTTAAAAAGGTTTGTTATAAATGATGATCACATCAAAGGGTAAAGGCATTCCTCAAGCTTTCTGTTTTCCACAGCTCCTTGGGAATGTGGTCTCTTGTATGATGTCACTTGAACCTTCCCTTCATAGCTCCTTTCTAAAAGCTGCTTTTGTGACGCCCTTAGGTGGTCAAGCAGTAAGTCACACTGTTGGATCTGCTCCCAGATGTATTCCTGTGGTAGCTCAGGACAGTATTATTGGTCATACACATGTAGCATTCCCCAGGAGCTGCACCTCAGAGGCAGGACTAAGATTCGTGCAGCGTAGGGTGTTAGGAAGGTGGAAGCCTCTATGAGGGAGGACCCAGCAGTGATTAAACACCTATAAGTGTGCCCTAGAAACTGGCAGTACTTCGTGTCTCTGCAGATGACAATATTGAATAAGGCAGCAGAAGTAGAGTGGTGGGAGTGCCAAGGACCACAGTCAGAGTTAGGACTTCTTGTTTTGCTGAGGACCTGGATCATCGCCATCTCAGAATGCTTGAAAAACGTGCTGATATGTGAAATCACAGGTCTAGTCATAACTCTTAGTAATAAATCTGTCAAGTCAGGGAGGCGTTCTGGGTGATTGGAGATTAACAAACATAATACCTCTACTAATGGAGACTGAGAGAGTGCATGTAGGAGTGAGGGAGAATGTGCTCTAGGGAGCTACAGACCCATTAGTCTGCCTGAAAAAAAAAAAAAAAAGCAGTTTTCCGTCAGGTTTTGAGTAACAAAATATTATTATGGTAAATAATAATAGTGAGATAAACTGCAATGTAAGTTTATAAAACTAGTTTAACATAATCTAAGTTGTTTTTTTTTCTTAGTAAGATAACTGATTTTGTATTAAAAGAAATGTATCTGATATAATCTTTCTCAACTTTTATCAACTTTAAGACATTGTGGCAGATAGTGAATTCTTTGCTAAAGGTAGAAGAAAGAAAGGGATTAATAAAAGAATTTAAGGCAGGTATTATTTAGCAAGGTCTCTATTCTCTCCCATGTGTAAGGAAAGAATAGGACATACAGAGAGAAATAACTATCCTCCAACTCTGGACAAAAAGACCAAGAAGATCCATTTCAGTCTTTGGTTCCTATGAATGGTTCCCTGCTTCTCCATCAGTATGCTGGACACAGGGATGGCTGTTCAGAACAGGTCAAAATTTTTTCAGCCCTTCTCCTAGTTCATCCCACTATCAATTGATAACAAAGAGCTCTTATTTCTCGTCATAGTCGGGTGACTTGTAGTTATTCCAGCTGAAGTAATATGCAGTTTATAACCTTTCCTTGGGCTCAGGTTATTCAAAAAGTAGCAAAAGAACAGTTTCAATCCATCTGGTCTAAGCCACCCACTAAGATTTACATCAGGAAGGCCACTATTTAATTTCTAAATGAAAATTTCAGCTTTTTTTCTCCACACCAGTAAATCTATGTCAGTTTGCAAGCTGGGAGGATAAGAGGGCAGCTAAGCACCTGTGCTGTTGGTGGGATGGATAAAGGAGAGAGAAGTCAACTGTAAAGGTTAAATGAAGCCAGGTGCTTGGATATGTATCCAACTACTTGCTTTATTCCTGTGGAAGCTGGGGAAGTCCCATGTATTATAACATCCTTTTTCATACACTGCAGAACTCCTTTGAAGGATGATATTTGGGACCTAGGGAATGAATTTTAAATTTAAAAATGTGGTACATTTGTGGACAAAGGAGTGATCCAACACTATGTGGAGTTCTTTGATGCCTCATGTGTTACTATGTGAGGATTGCTAATTGCAGCAAGAAATGTTGTTCTTTGCAGTGAAGATAGTCCAATTCAGCTTTATCAGTTCTAAAAGAGCTTGAAATGAGTTACTGTTTTTCTTTAACTAGACATTATCAGATTTCAGTGCAGATGTTATTCCCAGCTGTCACTCTATTTACCTGGCAGGACTTATTGCAGCAGTCAGTCAGTGCTCTGAAATGCCTCCTTAGAATAGATTGCAGACTGGGCAAAAATAAATGTGTATCAAAAATTCCTGATTAGAACCAGATAGGGATTCGCCTGATGGTGATACTTGAGTGGTATCTGAAAGGTTCTTCATGGTGCCAAGGTTAGGAGTTAGTGTCTCCACATGTAATGAGCAAACATAGACAGAAAAACACTCTGGAACTTCTTGTGGAGAAAAGTGCCTGTCCATGGGCAGTACAAGGAGGCCTGGCATCCTAACTGAGGTTTTCCAAGATTCAGCTGTGTTTATAAGCTGGGGAGCCTGGGAAGGGGTTTGGGCTGTGGAGTCAGCACCTTTGGGTGCTGTGGCTGCCTGAACTTTCCCTTTCCACTGCTGGCACTGCCCCTGGGCCTTGGGGGTGCTGGCTCTGTCACTGTGGCTCCATCAGCAGCTCACACTCTGGCCCTTTGCTGGAGACCTGAGTTCATATCACTTGGGGAAATGGTTTGATTTATTTCCTGTCTAGATACAAAGCAGAACTCACAAGTTTTGAGAGTGTTAACAAAGTAAGCAGCAAAACAGTGAACCCAGCAGCTGAGGATGGGAAAAACCCGCCAAAGAGCTGCACAATGACATTTGAAACAACTGCAGACACTTCCTCATCCTAAAGAAAACAGATGAAAATATGTAGAACTTGCTTTCTTTGCAGAATACTGATAGTATTGGTAGTATTCTGTTACATTTAGAGCTGCATGCTTTTGCTTTGTATAAGTTCATCTGCCCCAAGAGACACAACACCTTCAAGTTTTAATACTGCCCACAGAAGCAGTGAGTGGTGTGTGAATGTGCCATCAGCAACAGAGGAAAAAGCAAGGGATCAGGCTGGCTGGGAGCATTGTACTCAGGTCGAGTTCCTCAAAGTCAGGCTACAAAAGGTTTATAAACCATGGGAAAATACTTAAGCTGCTGTATTAATTGTGGTGGTGCTGATTCTTGATTTGCCTTTAATATTTTATTCCTGATGATAAAATAAGTATTTTTGCTAAAAATGCCTAAGAATACATTTCTCTAGATTTTGAATATAATTTCAGATTATATAGAAATTTTTATTCTACTAACAGTTTTTCAATATAAAATGCTTACCCAGGCTATAAAAGACAAATCCAACATTTGTACATGGCAAAAATCGCAGTCCAAAAGCACTTTGCAGTATATTGAGCAACACCAAGTCAAGAACGCTGCAATAATTCAAGCAGGCAATCCTGTGCCATCAGAGGTTGCTGTTTGATGTCTGCAAGATTTGTATTCCAAGTTACATGCAATTTCCTCAGCTTTGAGTTTTAGTCTTGAATAGAAATTCTGAAAACTTTAATGTCATGAAAGTCATCATGGCTGTTCATGCCAAAGCAGCTTGCTTTTTCAAGGCAAAAAACTTTGTTCCTGAGAAATGTTTTAACAAAAGCACAGCTAAATATGTAGCATCTCCTTAGAAATCAGCGTCTCTAAGAGCAAAGCTGTGTGACTGCTTGAGTGTTTTCAGAGAATGGGACGCACGTCCACAGCAGAAACTCCTTGGAGCCCATGAGACTGCAGTGGTGCTGAGCCTTGTCCCAGCCCAACCTCTTCCTTTGTGCTGGCGTTGCAAGGCAGCTCACCCTCATAATGGGCCACTTTGGAGAATTAAAGAGGTGCAGATTGATCCTGTGGGGTTTTTTTGAGAATTATAAGTGGCTTATTTCCCTGTGCAGCCTCACTGCAGGTGAGTGGTGTAAGCTCTGGACTGGGGCTGGAAAATGAGACCCGTTTCAGTTTGTTTAAACTGATGAGGAGCTTCATCATCTCTTTCAGCACAGCTTTGCAGAACCCAACTAACACATCAAAGGAGCAATGGGCCATTAAAATATTAATGCTTAGTTTGTTACTCTAAATTTGCAAGGACAATATTTTTCACTTTCCTTTTCCAAAGCCTCCAACCTTATTTAGATCCCCGGAGTTGACATGCAGCAATGGTTTGCACTATATTCAGTGATAGAATTTATGTAACTTCTAATTAAGCTGTCGTCACTTGGTACAACCCTCCGTAAGTGTTTGTGATGAAGAACTGCAAGAATTAAGATTTGCTACTGGAGCAGCTGCTACAGGGAGCTCTTGCCCAGCAGTGATTGCTGTGTCATCAACACACAGGAGTGTAAGTGGGAATCTGAGTGGAAGTGGGAATCCATGACACTGTCTTTTCTCTGGTTGCCCTGCAGGCTGAACTCGGCTCCGGTGAAGGGCTTTGAAAAAGATGTGGGTGGCAAGACAACACTCCGGATCACATATCCTGAAGGTGCAATCCAGAAAATGGAGCAGTATGAGAAGGATTCCCTGTTTGTTCTGGCAGGATTCAAATGGCAGGATTTCAAGTGGCTGAAATACATTGTTTACAAGGAGAAAGTGGTAAGAAGGCTGTCAGATGACACTGTGAAAGTCACTTAATTAGTAACGATGGGCAGGCATTGTATCACCATCATATCTGCCACATTTTGGTCTGAGGAGAGTCCCACTCTGTGTCCTGCTGCATTTAAGTGAAGACTTTCTTTACCTACACAGACTTCAGCTTTAATTAAATATGTTTTACAAAAATGTCTCTCTGCAATCTGTGTTGCACCACAGATGAGGCTTGCTATTCAAGATTGTTAGTGTGCACTGCGAACAATTTAATTAATTTTTAGTTATCTTAAAGAATATTTAAAAGGATCAGCTTTTGCATGGATTTTATGGATTCCTAGGATTTAAGAGCAGAGGAAGGAAGAGAGAAATGGGAAAGGGAAGAAATAGGAGTTTGGGGACAAGGATGTGATGTCACAGGAGGGGAGGAGGAGACAGCAGCAGCACAACTTGTTAAAGAGGCTACAGTCAGAGTTACTGTGACCTCCTGGATAGCACAAGCCATTGTATTTTGCTCAGTTACCAAGATTCATGATTTGTGTTTGGTTAAAGTATCATCCAGAACAACAGTATCAAGTCTTATTTTAAAACACTGAAATGGTGGATATGCTGGCTTCCCCGTGTAAAAACTTCACCCCATCATTTGCATGAGTGCCCTTCTGAGGCACCATGGACCTGTTAATAGTCAGGGTTGCTCTCTTCAATTCACCTACCCAGAACAGAATCAGGTTGTGATCAATGAGCTGTCGTTCAGTGTATGGTTTGTCTGTCAGGAAATCCCAAATAAATAATCTTGTTTTACAAATCTTATCTATATATCTATATCTATATCTATATATCTATATCTATATCTATATCATCTATATCTATATCTATATCTATATCTATATCTATATCTATATCTATATATATATATGTTTTCAAATGTTGCTTAATGACTTTTCAGCAAATAAGACGACAAATGGATTAACATTCAGAGGATGGCATATTATACTGTGTGTTTAGAGACAGAGAGAGGAGGTTGGCAGCTCCACATACATACCAAAACAGTCTGGGAATATCATTGTATACAGCTGTTACACAGAGGGCCTTAAGGGTGCATACTTTGCTCTTGTCTAACACTGGCACCAACTTGCAATTATTTTCTGGCTACTAGACAGATGAAGTTACCTGTCAACCTCTGGGCAAGCACAAATGGGCTTTCGTAACATGAATAATTGAGTCAAAAGTAATTTTCTTTGCTTTATGTCAGGCTCTTGTTCCTCATTCAGGGAAAGGGAAAGCCCTGGTAGTGTCAGTGCCCTGCAACCCAAATGCAGTTGCAGGGACTCCTAGAGTTTAGCTTGAAGCTCAAAGGATGGGTTGGTTTACTTCAAAACAAATTTAATTTTTCCCTGATGCTTGCAGTCAAGTCAATTAGTAGATTCTTGTGTGGTATCCCCTGCTCTTGGAAAGATGCAGCAAATAGTCTGTTAAAACCTGCTAGACTGGGGAGAGTGATTGCAGATCTCTTAACTGCATGCTTCAGTGCCCAGATTGGCAGAGAGCAGAAAAGAACTTCAGCTTTGTGCATTACTTCAGTGTTCTTGTGATTGGCTCCTTATCCTTCAGTTCTTCAGAATAAACACCAAGGTTTTTTCAGTTCTTTTAGGTGATGTTTTCCAGATCTCTTAATTCCTGTTGCTCTTTTGAATGTTTGTAGTTAATTCATCTGTTTCTTAAAGTGCAGTGCCCAAAAATGTATAGACTACAGCAAAAAAGAGGAGCAAGTAGATAATTCATTTACCTCACAATTCTCATTCTTTATACATCCACTGTTTCAGTGGCCTTGTCCACAATGGCATGGAACTGAAGGTGGGTTCCTGGAGACTCCAGGTTTCAGGAAGAATTGGAGAGCAGCCACTTCCCCGCTCCACACCCTGTGCTTGTGCCGTTGGCTCCTCGTGCCAAAGAGCTGCACTGTGCACTTGTCCCTACCGATCCTTTCTTCCAGAACACTCCTCCAGTTTGCCAAGTTCCTTTGGCAGACTTCCCAGCATACGTGCCATTCTTTCCAGATTCATGTCCTCTGCAATTTAATAAACATACTTTTTACTTCATCATCCAGGTTGATAATGAAAACACTAAACAATGTTGGTTCCTAGGCAGACCCCAAAGTATTAACATCAATCCATTCCTAGAGTGAGCCCACTGAGCCTCCTGGATAGTTTTTTGGCCACTTCTGAACTTGTATCACAGTTGTATCACCAATAATGCTTTTGGCATGTTTGTGAAAGTGATCTGTCAGAAGTTTTACTGAATTCCAGTTCATGTCTTCCTTCTGCCCTATCATAATTTTTTGTCTGTATAAAATTTTTTTTTAAAAGTAATTCACTCTTGACAAATCCACCTGGCTTGCTACTCAGTCTGTTATTTTTTTTTCAAGTGCTTACAAATAATTATTCCTGCTATTCTGGGAATTGAAATCATAATTCAACTCTCTTCCCTTTTTTCCCTTGTTAAGTCTAGACACTACTTCTGTCCATTTTTCAGTCCTTTGACCCCCTACCTTTTTCTGGGGTTTTGACACCCCAAAAGGGAATCAATGCTAGTGCTCGAGACTGTTGAGTCAGTTCATCGAGTACTTTAGGATGCAGCCCAGGTGGCTGGAAAACATCTGTCTTGTGCTCTCTTGTGCTTTCATCTGATTTCTCTGTACTTGAGACTGAGATCTTGCTGTCACTGGCTTTAGCTGCAAGCAGGTGGCTCACACAGCTGCTTTTTCTAGAGGAAACCAATGCAGAAATGTCTCTTAGGAATGACCCAATGGAGGACTAGCAGTGCTATGGGAATAGCATGTAGGCGTCTGTTTGTTCTGGTAGTGAGTGTTAGTATTTTCATCAGTGTGTGGTAAGTTCAAAATGACAAATGCCTGCCCAGTGCTCTCTGTGTGTCAAGAGTTTGTTTCTCTCTCAGCTGATTTTCCAGAGAAAGGGGAGTTTCTTCCCTTCCTGCATTTATGTAGAGTCACTTGCATGACCTGAGAGCTCTGTATGCCGCTGTTGCTTATTCCTTATCTGACATGTCCATCTTCAAGACCTCGTGCAGATACACTGCAAACCAGTGGCTACAGTCAGGAGTCTGACTTCAGAGAGGAGAAAATGAAATGGAAGCATTCTGCTAAAGAACACAACTGCTGTGGAAGTCGACACATTCCTCAAAAAAATGGGCTGATGATCTCTGCCCTCTGATGTTTCCTTTGTCTGTGACTGTTGATGGCAGCTGCATGTGTCCATGGTACAGTCACAGGTGGGTAATGAGACCTTCTGAATTCCTTCAGGCACCTGGAGCAGCTTGGACCTGCTGGACCAGAGATTCCAGGCCAGGTACTGGGATCCTTGCTTAGTCCTCTCTTGAGTAAGTGAAATCAAAGGGAGTTTATTGGAGAAAGAGTAAATTAAAGGAGAGTGGCTATTTATTGCTGGGTCATTGGTCAGATAAGCTTATTCTCCCTGCAGCTGAGAGGGATTTGCTCTGTGGTGTGTTAGTCTTTTGGCAGCACTTGCATACTGAGAAAGGGATAAGTGCTATGTAGAGAGGAGGATTTTCAGGAGACGTTATAAGGAAAAAGAACCAGTGTGATGCAGAAGCATTAGCAGAACAGCGGGGTAGGGGATTTTATGTGTTACATACAGTCTGATGCAACAGCCTCCTTCATATCTGTGTGATGCCTTAGTGCCCTGGGAGACACTGTATCCAGAAGCAGGAGCAGTGGAATATGGACCTAAGGAAATGTAAAAGCTCAACTGCTTTTATTTTACACTAAACCAGAAATATCTGGAAGCAAGTAAAAACTTGAGACAAAATATTAACCTAGAAGAAGGACAGGTTTGGCTAAATGTTCACTGTCAGCAGCAAAACAAAGGTAGTCTTCATCACAGAGTTCTGGCTGAGCTGGCACTCCAGATTGAAGTCTTGTAGGAAGATAGGGCATAGTGTATCACCAGAGAATGTAGACCTGCCTTTCAGAAGTGGAAGGGTGAGTGAATCTGAGTGACTAAAATGCTGGTAACCTGATTTCAGTGATTTGACTAACATTAGAATAAACTAAAGGAGAAAATCATAGCACTGGTCGCAGCTAGAAGGAGTATGGGATGGAGAAAGGTGACATGGTGAGCAGAGAGGAGTATTGCACCATGCTGGCCTCATAAGTCAGTGTACAAGTGGAAAGGAAATGGGTTGGAGTCCCAGAGCCTGCAGTTCCATGAACTCATGGCTGTTGCAGAAGGGTCACAGATGTGAGCTGTTCGTGCGTCTGTGGTGACTGGTCTGGCAGTGCTGACTTGGAGTCATTGCTGCAAGAACCTGTGACACTTCCAGGCACCCCTTTGCTGATGAAACAACTGCTGCCAGTGCATCCCCAGAGGGGGATTACTCATGGACAGTCACTCAGAACAGTTAAACTTTCTCTTGGACTGTTATTTTTGCCAAGAGGCATAATCTATATATGTTGTGATCCACCCCACTGCTTCCCAGCGCTTGTACCCTCCTCTATCTGCCTGGGTCTTTCAGTGACAGAAACTCTTTCTGAATACATAAAGTACCTGAGGAATTGCAGAGGGATAGAGGCTTGGTCATATATTGCTTCTTAAAATAATGGTCAAGAGCTGAAAGTTTCTCTGTTGCATGGAGAGAAGATGCTTCCTGAACAAACAGGAATTTACAAGCTCCAGATATGCAAAGCAGCCATCTCAGCCTGGTACTGAGGCCAGTTCCAGGGCAGTTTCTTGGCTGTCATTAGTGAATTAGAGGGAGCTCTCTTGCTTGCTAGGGCTCACATCCCTGGACATCTGGCACATGGTGATAAAGCAGCCAAGTGAGGGCAAAGGTGCCACTAGAAATTGGCAGCTCACAAGCTTCCTGCTCATGTGGTAATGAGTCTGTGGATGATTCCAGTGGGAATCTCTGCAGCCTTTGCCAGGAGGAGTCACTTGTGCAGAAAGTGCCTACGGCACCTAGTTCTCTTTGAT